CCATGGCTCACGGGCCCAGCCGCTCCGCGGCATGTGGGATCTTCCCGGACTGGGGCACGAACCCGTGTCCCCTGCATCGGCAGGCGGACTCTCAACAACTGCGCCACCAGGGAAGCCCTATACGTTCTTTTTTTAGATTCTTTTCCAGTATGGTTTATCCCTGGAGGTTGGATATAGTTCCCAGTGCTAAATAGTAGAAGCTTTTTTTTTTAATCTGTTCTAAATGTAATAGTTTACACCTACCAACCTCAGAGTCCCACTCCATCCCTCCCCCTCCCCCTCTCCCCCTTGGCAACCACAAGTCTGTTCTCTATTTAACAGAATCTTTTATTGCAACAAAATTTACCTCCCGAAAAGTACACACAATGCAAGTTCCGCTCCATGAGTTATTACAAAGTGGACACCCGGACTGTAGTCTAGGCCTGAAGGGAGGGAATTTTGGGTCCTGTGAGGAGCTGGAGGAAACACACCTGGCAGAGGGACCTGTGAAGTTCAAAGGTGGGCTGAGCTCAGCTAGTTTGACAAACAGCCAGGAGGCCGAGGTGGGGGTGGTGCTGGGACAGGAGGCGCCCGGGGTTGACAGAGGGGCCATTCTAATAGCCACTTAACTGAGAACTAGCCCCACCCCTTCAGCACCACCTAACAGGGGGACCCTGAGGCTTTCTGAACTTTCAAAGGGCAGGCACTGAGAACTTTGAACTCTTTACTATATCAAAAAGCCAACAGAAATTGGACAGTTAACATTTTCAAATGTCCCACTCTATGACATTCTGGAAAAGGCAAAACTATAGCGACAGCAGTAGAAGGATCAGTGGTTGCCGGGGGTTTGGGGGGAGGGAGGGATGAATACGTGAAGACCAGGGGATTTTTAGGCAGTGAAGCTCTTCCATGTGATACTGTAATGGTAGCTAGATGACATTCTACATTTGTCAAAACCCACAGACTACAGAACACCAAGTGTAAACCCTCATGTAAATGATAGATGTCACGGATGGAGATCTTCGGATACCACCACCTTCTAGAAGGTTCTATAACGGCCCCCACCCAAGGTCATTCCCTCCTCTTCTGAAAATCTTTCGGTAAACAGGTTTGTTCACGTGCCAGGCCTAAAGAATTGTTGGTAGCTACTTAAAGTTGACAAGTAGAAGGATTCCCAGGCCTGTCCCAGCCAACGGGGGAATGTCACCCCTGAGATTGACACGTGATGTCTGCCATGGGTGCAGGAGGTGGGATGGGTGGCATCGTGCTAGGTGTTTACCTCTCGGGATTTAGCAAGTCCCAAGGCACGATCACTTGGCACCTGGCATCAAGTTCCACAGGGCTGGGCCTCGCTCGCCTGGTGGAGTCAAGCCCCTTGGAAACCCAGAGATGCCCTCAGCTGCAGAAGGTTCTCAGCCAGTGTTACCCCATCACTCAGCAAACAATGACTGTGGAAGAACTGACAAAGAACATGACGTGAAGAGTGCCTGGAATAAGGCTCTGTGTGGGCGTGGGGTGAGTGTGGCCAGAGTTTGGGTGCAAATGTGTGAGTCATTTCACATAAGCAGGTCTCACAATGGTGACACGAGCTAAGCACACTTTCGCCTGGGACCTTCGCCTGGGGCCTTGGTCCCGTCCCTTCCCTCTGCTTGGAATACTGCCCTCCCCCCACAGATATCCACAAGTGTCACTTCTCACCTTGTTCAGGCCTCTGCTTGAACGTCACCTCTCCTGACTGCTCAAGCGACTCTCCCGTCCCCACTCTGCATCCTTGTCTTCACAGCGTTGCTCACGCTGCTAGTTTCCTGGGGCGGCCGCAACAAGTGACCACAAACCAGGTGGCTTGAAGCAACACGAATTCTCCCACAGTCTGGAAGCGAGAAGTCTGAAATCATGGTGTTGGCAGAGCCATGCTCCCTCGGAAGGCTCTGGGGCGGGGTGGGGGGACCCTTCCTTACCTCTTCCAGCTTTGGGTGCCTCCGGGTGGTCCTTGGCTTGTGGCCGCATCCCTCCCATCTGTGCCTCCATCTTCATGTAGCCTCTCCTCTGTGTCTGTGTCTCTCTTCTTCTGTCTCTTAGAGGGACAGCAGTCCTTGGATTTATGGCTCACCCAGCTAATCCAGGATGATCTTGAGATCCTTAATTATGTCTTCAAAGATTATTTTCCCAAATAAGGTTACATTACACAGCTTCTGGGGATTCCGACATGGACGAATGCTTTTGGGGGGCCCATTACTCAACCCACTACATTCACTGCCTGACACTGCATTACGGGTGGTTTTGTTTGCACCTTATCACACCCACTAGGAGATAAGATACAAGACAAGGGGAATAGAGTCTGTTGTAGCAGGGGCTGGTCTCCACGGCCACATGGCAGGTGCTTAAAAATATTTGCTGAAGGAATGAAAGTGGCTTTACTACTCTAATTTCTTCATCTGTAAAATGATTATATTATTACTTGTATGCTCAGCCATTAAAAAAAAAAACAGAATTGAGGGTCTAGGTAAGGCATGACAACTTCAAACTAAGTCCTAAAACTAATATATATATCCTTTGTATTCTATACCCCTTCTGAAAAGGATGTTTTCAAATTCTAACCTTGTAATTCACCATGAGGTTTATTACCAAATACATTTCAGGTGCCTGGGGCTGCACTGAGGCTTCCCAACACGGTGTGTTTTAGGGAGATAATTTATGGTTCATGAAATGACACCACTTTCATACAGAGAGTGAATGGGCCTTGAAGAGTGTGACCTCATTGTTTAAGATGCCCAGAGCCCATACTTAAGGAAAGGCTGGATGTTTTGGGCTGAGTCGTGCCCTTGACTCTCAAGGTCAGGCCAGAACGTCAGGATCAATGGCTCCCAGAGAGGCCAACCTCAGAAAGTTTCCCAGCAGCTGTCTTGTCTGAGTTAATTCCTTGAGAGTGGACTCGAGAATTCAACAGGCTGAAGGCAAAAGGGGAAAATGGACAGGAAAGCAATTAAACTGGGAAATTTCAAACTCTTCTTCCTGTGTCAGATCAGGTAGTCAAAAATAAAGACATGAACAATGGAGTCATAAAGTTAGAGTGAATAAATACAGAACTAATTTACAAAGAAAGTACAGCTTACCAATACTTTACAAAGAATATACCAACTTGCCTTACTGGGATTGAAATATTTACAAAAACTGCATACAAACCAGGCACAAAGTCTCAATAAATTAAGGAAAGTTAGTAGACCTGTGTGCAGGCTGCATTTTCTGATCACTATGCAGCAAAGACAAAAATCAGGCAAACTTAAGCCTAACGATGCCCCTTCAGCCATCCCAGTCACAAAGCTGGTCTGTTAAACTGCTTTTGCTGTGACCCACTCCATTTTTTTTTTTTTTTCATCCCAACAGGTCTGGGTGTTGCACCATATCCACTACCCAGAATTTACTTCCTGAATGCCCTGGGCATTCTCATACATGATACACACATTCTTGACAGCTCTGAGCTGGAGCGGAGGTGGGGCTTTCAAGGGAAAGGCATTTGCCCAACACATCACCCCCTGCTCACAAATAGTCTGTTTATCAAACTTTCCCCAAAGCACTCAGTGTGAGGCACCATCTGTTTTTTGCTGGGACCCTCACTCAGACGGATAGGTAGCGTCATCTGCATTTTGTGGGTGAGTACACCGAGGTGGAAACAGGTGGTGAAAGTTGCCCGAGGTCACACATCTGAAAGGAACAGGCCTGGGATTCAAATTGGAGTCACATCAGACTTTTGCTCTTTCCATCACTTCTGGGCCTTTGCTGGAATCAAGCAGCATGGTTTCTGCAAAGGGGGGATGAGGCAGGAGAAACAGGAAGGGTCTCTAGAACCTATCAGCTTGAGTGGGGCTGAGGTGGCCACCCCCTGGGGGGGCAGGTGGGGTAAGTGGCAAACCTTTGCTCCAAAGGGGCAGCACCGTTTAATGGACATATACACATGCCCTGTCCTATAGTCCTTAAGTAACCCCACTCGACAGATGAGAAAACTGAGGCACAGAAGAGTGGCACAGCCTTCTCTAAAGCCACCTCCCTACTAAGCGGTGGGTCTTGTTCTGGATTCCAGTCCCACGTGAAGCCAAAGCCCTTATACATTCCAGTATATCCACTTGGAGGCTGGGAACTGCCTACACTGCACATTCACCCACATACTTTGGGAGCCGTTTGAGCCCAGTGACTTCCCTGTGATGATGATGACGAGGATGGTGATGAATATGCCCCCCCCCAACACTATGCCAAGCCCTGCCCTGAGCTCTTCCTACATAACATGGTCCATCGAATCCCCTCAACTTCACTGGGAAGGAAGTGCAATCATGGTGGCCGTTTTACAGATCAGTAAACTAAGGCTCTGAACATTTTAGAAACCTGCCCCAAGCCCCACGATTAGTGAGTGCCAGGAGCCCATTCTGCAGGTGAGGAAAGAGAGCTCAGAGATCATGCAGCACCAGGTGGCGCCCAAAGGGGTCCTCAAACTCTCCAGCTCCTGGGATTCACTCCCAGGGCCGAGGTGAGGTCTTAGCTTTCTCCTCCTTCAATAACAAACTGGGAACCGCGGCTCAGAGAGGCCACGTGGCTGGTCCCGAGCCTCGCAGCGGCTGTAGGAGTCTGACTCAGCTCCCGCTAACCGTGCTCCCAACACCTTAGTTGACCACACGTGGCTCCCCATGAGAATCACCTGGGTGCTTGCTAAAGTCCAGCTTCCCGGCCCAGGGTAGGGAGGGGTGTGGAAATCTACATTTTAAACAAGCGTTTATCGCTCATCTCCAACCCATTCCGCCCCCCCCCCCCGCGCCCCGCTCCAGATGCATCTTATCATCTGGCAAGTTTGGGAAACAGCTAGGCGCCTCTGCAGCCCCCGGGCCTTCCCGGGCCGCCGCGGCCCCTAAGGGCGAGAAAGTCTCGGGCGGAATCGCCGGACGGGGCGGGGCCAGGTGCGCGAGGGCCGCCGCGGGCGTAGCTCCGCCTAGGGGGCGGGGCCTCAGCTGCGGCGGACAGGTAGACGGCTACCCGGTAACGTGGGCCTGGCCCGGGAGGCTTGGGCGCGCGCAGCCAGCCCCGGCCACGCCAGGGACCGAGGGACTCAGGCAGGGGCGGCCGCCGGCGGGACGGGAGGCTGGGCGAGGGGCCTCCGCCCGCTCACCATGGTCGAGGGACGCTTCTCCAAGTTTCTGAAGAAACTCGCCTTCTCGGGCGGGGGCCACCAGTACCAGTTGCTGGAGAGGGGCGAGTTGGAAACCTTGGTGAGTCCGGGCGCGGGGCGTGAGACCCGACACCCCACCCCCCACCCCGTCCCACCCCAAGAGCCCGTCCGCGCGCTGCGGGCTGCGTTCCTCCAGCTCGCCCGCCTCCCCCTGGTTCTAGAAAGACGATGTCTTCATAGCTACGCCAGCTCGCATTTCTGTTCTGGGCCCGGCGCTCGCCTTTTAACCCTCGCCTGCCAGCCCATTTTGCGGACTCGAAACTGAGGCCGAGACAGGGGAAATATGTCCCTTAAGGGACACGCGGCTAGCAAATGACCCAGCTGGGAACTTAACTTTGGTTTCTCTGACTCCAGAAAATTTAAATTACCGGGTCTCCACACCAGATTGCTATCCGGATTTTTTAAAGTGACTTGAATGGGGCGGGGGGATTAGAGCGCCGTAAAAAACAAAAACTGTTGTGCAAATGTTTTAGCTTGAATAGTAGGAATAATGGTGGAAATCAAGGTAAGAGTGGCCATGCCTACCACCTTTGTTTCCCACATCTCCAGAGACACTTTAAAAGAAAACACCCAGATTTGTGTGTTGACTTTGCAGCCTCCAGGGGACCCTCTAGGATAAGCCAACAGGATTCTAGGGCCAGGGGAGTTTTTACCAGCAGAGAAACTGACAAAGCTGCCCCCAAAAGCCCTTCCTTCCATGTGGAGGACCCAGAGATGAAGCAGGGTCAACGGGTGACCCCCAACTTTCTCCGTAGCTTGTAAGCAGAACTCAGTGCGTGATACAAGAGCAGAGAGCATGGAATTTCTGCAAAAGCATCTCTGGGTCACTGCACTTTTTAAAATGTAGTCAGTCATTCAAAAATAAACTTCCTGATGTGGAACTCTGGAGGTGCTCGTGGCCTTTCCACGGCTGAAGGGAAACCTCAAGTTAAGTTTACTGGGTTTTTTTGTTTGTTTGTTTGTCTTTTTGCGGTACGCAGGCCTCTCACTGTTGTGGCCTCTCCCGTTGCGGAGCACAGGCTCCGGACGCGCAGGCTCAGCGGCCATGTCTCACGGGCCCAGCCTCTCTGCGGCATGTGGAATCTTCGCGGACCGGGGCACGAACCCGCGTCCCCTGCATTGGCAGGCGGACTCTCAACCACTGCGCCACCAGGAAAGCCCTAAATTTACTTTTTAATGAAAGAGGTCAGCTGGAAAAACTTGACAGCAGTCAAAACATTTTGGTTGTATGGGTCTTAGTATTTGTGCATTTAAAAAACTAGTATTTTATAAATGGATGCTAACGTGAGAATTCTGGTGCTAGGGTGGTAGACCACGGTGCCGTGTAACTAGCAGTTCTCAGATAATCTCTATTATTCTGAAGCGACATGTATGTTAACCACGGATTGGATGCAGAGTTCCAATATTTTGCCGACATCCATTTCTCTCCCTGTATGCCACGTAACTCATTCTGTTGGAGGAGTTTGAAGTTAGTTTGCCAACATGGTTGCCTGTTCTATGTTACTTTGTCTATTTTCTTTTCTTTCCATCTTTTGATTTTTGCATCAAGCTAGGTGTTTTTCAAACACTCCTGATGTAGTTGCTTGCAGTCAGATTTTATGGGATGTCCAGGTTTGCCAGGTATGGGGATGATGTATCATGAATAGAGATGCTGGGGCGAATTTGATCTCTGCACCAAAGTGGGCTTCGTGCCCCCAGAGGGGCCCTCGAGAGCGGGACAGGTCTTCAACCTGTCTATAGGTATGCGCTGGCAGGGGCTTGCCCACCTGGTGTGGTCGGGATGTTCTCAGCTGCACCCCGAAGGGTGTGTGACGACTTAGCAGTGTGGACGTGAGGCGAGACAGGAGACCCGGGCCGCCAGCCGCAAAGGCTGGCAGAGAAACAAAGTATCCTGTCTTTAAAGGCAGTTCATCAAACCCAGGAAATTGAAATAAAGATAAATGGGGAGTGTGATGAGGGAGGAGACCGGCCGGGCCAGGTGACCGGCTTCCTGCCAGCTCAGCTGACAGTCTTTGCTCTCATGTTTACATCCTCCAATTTGAACTCTTTTTTTTCTTTTCCTCAGAAACATTTGAAAAAGAAGCAAAGTTTGCTTACCGTGGTCATTTCCGTAATAGTCGTAACTCTCTTTCATGAGCACTTGTTGTAGGGGGTGTCCTGGGCGGGCTCTGAACCTCCCCGCCACTTTGCCGAATCACCTCAGTTATAATACTAATTATTATTGAGAACATGCTGTGTCTCTTCACCCCTAGTTGAGTTGTGTTATTGTACCGGTGTGTTAGATGAGGCTGCTGAGGCGCTCATGTCGGCCAGGTGGTAAGGATACAGTTGTATCCAAAACAGAGTTCATGGGGGAGGCTGACGGCAGAGACCCCAAGAGAAGTTTAATTTAAGATGCAACCGTCTTAAATGGCAGAGTGACCGGGCAGGGGATAGGTGGTTGAGACAGGGATGGGGGAGGACCCAGAGTTAGGAGCTTCTCAGGCTGAATCAGCACAGTTCTTATGGCTCCGCAGACGGTTCATTCTTGCTGCATTTCCAGTGTCATGAAAAGAAAAAAGTGTAGGAGATCCCCTTTCATTATTGGAAGAACGCTCTCTCTGCTGATCTGAGCTTTGGACAAGGAAAATGTTGGACCAGAAATACCTGCTTCCCAGATGACTCAGTACCAACTCAGGAAGTTATCTTTGACCCTCAGGGCTCCCTTCTCTTAACCGAGACCCGCACAGCTCCATATCCTGTGCCGCCTTCCCTGTTGTGAACTGATCCACCTTCCTGGGGCTCTGCAGGGGGAAGCCTGGCTTCCAGCAGACCTGTGTCCTGGTTATTCATTCAGCCCAGATTCATGGGGCGTCTACCCCGTGTTAGGGTGGTGCTGCGCACCAGGGATGGGGTGGAGAAAAAGGTGCACACACTCCCTGCCCTCGTGGCGCCGTGTCTGGTGGGCAGAGATGGGTCCCAAACTACAGATCATAGTTGACTGTTTAATGGGAAGGGATGTTTAAGACTCATAGGAATGGCATAGACTAGGGTGAGTGGGAAGGGCAGAGTTGATGGAGAGTTCTAGGCAGAAGGGAGTGAGGTGCAAGGGTTAGTGGGAGAGGTTGAGGCTGCCGAGGTGGACCACGCAGAGCCTTTGGGCCTTGTAAAGGGTTTGGGCTCCATCCGTAGAGCAACAGGGAATCACCGACACGTTTTACGTCGGGGCATGATAGTCATTCATTTATTCAAAGATGTGCCGAACATGAGGAATGCAGTAAACAGAGCAGACACAGTCAGATTTGCATTTTTAAGAGATCACACTTGGGTTGCAGGAAGAGGAGTTCTGAGGTTTACACACACACACACAGACACACACACGCACACACATCATTGGTGTCTCTCAAAATTTAGCAGTATATGTCATCTTTTTCTTTTAAATTTTATTTTGGTTTTATTTATTTATTTTTACTTTTTGGTTGTGTTGGGTCTTTGTTGCTGCGCGCAGGCTTTCTCTAGCTGCGGCGAGTGGGGGCTACTCTTCGTTGCGGTGCGTGGGCTTCTCATTGCTGTGGCTTCTCTTGCTGTGGACCCCGGGCTCTAGGCGCACAGGCTTCAGTAGCTGTGGCTCGCAGGCTCTAGAGTGCAGGCTCAGTAGTTGGGCGCACGGGCTTAGTTGCTCCGCAGCATGTGGGATCTTCCCGGACCAGGGCTTGAACCCGTGTCCCCTGCCTTGGCAGGCGGATCCTTAACCACTGTGCCACCAGGGAAGCCCATTATATGTCATCTTGAAGAAATGTATTGGAAGCCCCCAGTGTCGTCTTACATTATTTGTATCAAAATGTGACTTAACTAAGTAGAAGCCTAAAATTTGCAACAAACATAGCCATGGGCTTATAACTCAATAAAAGCGAACTACGTTTATAATAAAATTAGGAAGTACACATGTAGCAAGTGCATTTTGATGTGACTGGTGATGTATCATTAAAAGTCAACTAGTCGGGCTTCCGACTAGTTCATTATAACTAGTTCATTATGGATTGCTGTGTAGCAGGTCACTCCCAAATGCAGCAGCTGAAAGCAACAAATGTTGATTCTCTCCCAGTTTCTTTGGGTCGCAGATCTGGGGGATGCTCCAGGTATCTCGTGAGGTGGCTGTCCAGCTCTCGCCAGAGCTGTGGTGTCACCTGAAGGCTCTCTGGGTGGAAGGGGAGAGAATCCCCTTCCAAGCTCCCTCTTGTGATTGTTGGCGGGTCTCTGGCCCCAGCTACATGGGCGTCTCCAAGGGGCAGCCTCGCGGCTGCCTCATGGCTCAACACCTGGCTTCCCCAAGGAAGAGTGATCCTTTTTATAACCCAGTTTTGGAAGTGATATCTCCTCATGTGTGGCATGTTCTGTTCATTGGAAGGAGTCTAGATCTAGCTGGTTCTCAAGGGATGGGGATTACACGAGGATGTCATTAAGTGGAGGCAGGGTGATCGGGGGCGTCTTAGAGCCTGCCGACCACAGTGGTAGAAAGGAATAGTTCCTTAAATGACAGAACCACACCTGGCACAAAGTCTGCTGCACAGCTGTCTCGTTGTGTTAGCGTGTTTAGTAGTCCTGAGGTCCAGTCTTTATTTAGACTCTCTTGAATTTTGATCTTGATAAAGCTCATACTGGGAATGTCTAATTACATGCATATGTAGAAAACGGCATTTAAGTTGATCAAGAATGTATTTGCTAGATTAGGACCACATCATACTTCACCCCAACTGGCAGCGGGCAGCCCGTGAATGCCAGTTTGAAAGGCTCTCATTTGATAACCATAGAACCTGCTGGCTCACTTGACGATAAGGTGAGTGCCGGCCATTGTGGAAGGGATGTTTCTTCACTGTGTGCGATGACCATACTTGCTGCACATCACCTGTGGCAAGTAGCTGTGTGCAGAGACTGGGTGCGTGTACGGCCTCGCTTGCAACAAGACGACACTCTTCAAAAGTGAGACGTTTTAAAGCGGATGCGCCGATGTCAACACCGCCTGCTGTGCGATGGCTCCGTCCTCCTGCCATTTCTTCTCTC